GCTCCGAGTTGGACCATTATGAGGAGCAAGAAAGAGAGTGGAGGGCGAGGGAAGAAGCGAAGGTAGACATAAAGGAGGAGATCAAGAGGGCAATGAGAGAATGGCAATGTACTCCAGACGTCTCCGGGTTAAGCTACGCAGAACTATGCATCAACCCAGACTTGAACCTACCTGAAGGGTTCAAGATTCCAATGTTTGATACCTTTGGAGGGGTGGGCAACCCCATGGCACACCTAAGAGCGTACTGTGACCAACTCGTGAGAGTTGACAAAGATGAAGCATTGCTGATGAGGTTGTTCAGCTGAAGCTGTGCGGTGAGGCCTGGAGTGGTTCACTTCACATGAGACTCCACAATGGCCCAGTTGGAGCGCACGGGCTAAGGATTTCATCGACAGATTCGCATACAACGTCGAGATAGTCCCTGATCAGTACTCCTTGGACAAAATGAAACCGGAGCCCACAGAAAGCTATCAAGAGTTCGCGTACAGGGGAGGAAAGAGGCAGCGAGGGTGAGGCCTCCGATGATAGAAAAGGAGATCATAGAGGTGTTCGTGCGGGTGCAGGAGCTCGAGTATTATGACAGAGTCATCTTATTAATCGGCGCCAAGTTCGTCGAGTTAGTCAAAGTAGGTGAGACAATCGAAGATAGGCAGAAGTCGGCAAAGATAGCCCGAGTGTCTGCATCGCCTGGGTTTTCCGGACTAGTAAGGAAGAAAAGAGAGGAGGTTAACGCTATCTCACACATGGATGAAAGGCCCGCAGAAACTTACCACGTCCCCAAGGCCGCTCCACCCCTCCTTCAAAGTCTCATCAAGCCTACCGTCCACAATCAAATCATTCCGGCCACTACAATGCTGCCCCCGCTTATCTAGATGCCCATATTTTGTCGTATAAGAATCCGCCCCAAATTCCCCAAAATTTTCCCTCCATATATCCAAACTACACCCAAGCTTATCATGTCCCTCCTCCTTATCATAATGTCGCTCCCAGCTGCGCTAATGTATAGCCAAGTTATTGAGCGACTTCCCCTGCATATCAAATACAAACCTCAGCATATCAAAGCCCCCATCCAAATTACCAAGGTCCTATGCAAAACTACCAAACAAAGCCCTACCCCAGAACCCAAGCTCCACGCCCAAATGCCTGCAATTACCAACAAGTCCCTCCCCCTCCACAGAGCGGGAATGATCCCCCTCGCCCAGGTTTGAGAAAAATCCCTCCAGAAGCTTCACCACGTTGGTTGAAAGCAGAACTAAATTGTTCGAAAGATTATCTGCGGCCGGATACATCCACCTTGTGGGGCCAAAGCCCGTGGATGTCAATTCTAGATTCTACAGACCGAAGCAGAGATGTGCTTATCATTCCAACAGTGTTAGACATGATACACAAGACTGTATCAATCTCAAGCACAAGATCCAGGACTTGAATGACCAGGAAGTGGTCTCCCTTCAGCCTGCGGCACCAAACGTCAAGATGAACTCGTTGCCAAATCATGGGGGTGGGAACATCAACATTATATAAACTGACGAAGATGAGCGTGAAGCCAAGAGAATTACTCCTGTTGTTCAGAAAGACATGGAAAAGGCTATCGCTTCTTTAAGCATCAGGGAAAAGGGAGAGTTTGTCATTCTGACACCTGCAAAGGTTGTTGCCTTGGTGCCCACAAAGACTCTCTCCAAGCCCAAGTTTATTATAGAAACAGCCGTGGCTCAAGGCATGACTAGATCTGGCAGATGTTACACTCGTGACGAGCTTGCTCTCGGAGGACAAAAGAAAGATCATGCCAAGAGACCGATCAGCAAAGCAGAAGCTGAGGAGTTCTGGAGGAGAATGCAGCCCAAAGACTACTCCATTGTCAAGCACTTGGAGAAGACTCCAGCCCAAATTTCCGTATGGGCCTTATTGATGATCTCCTGGAACCATAGACAGGCCTTAATGAAAGCCCTGGATGACACGTACGTTCCCTCAAGCACAAGCAGCGACAATGTAGCTGCTATGATTGACCAAGTCATTCGGGGACACCGCATCAGTTTCTGCAATGATGAACTGCCGGCCGAAGGGAGGGCCCACAAGAAAGCTCTACATATCACCTTGGTATGCCGCGGAAAGATCGTCAACCGTGTTTTGGTAGACGACGGATCTAGCCTGAACATATGCCCCTTGTCCACACTAAAGCAGCAGAGGTTTCACCTCGGAAAGTTTGAGCAAAACCAGGTCAATGTCAGAGCATTCGATGGTGTACAGAGAGATACGTTGGGAGCAGTGAACTTGACCATCCAAATGGGCCCCACAGAATTCGACGCGAAGTTCCAGGTGTTGGATATCGACACCAGCTATAACCTTCTTTTGGGAAGGCCATTCATTCACATGGCTGGAGCCGTCCTCTCCACTCTCCACCAATTGATGAAACTGGTCTGGAAAAATGAAGAACTTTTATTCAGGGTTAAAAGGGCCACTCAAGCAAGTAGATGCCGGTCTTGGAGGAGACGCTGCAAAGCTCGGATTTTTACACGGTGTAGTTGGTAGCAATGAGGGCTTGGCCCCACAGACTCCCATTCCGGCCGTGTATAGAATGATCGCCACGGTGATGCTGCAGAGTGGATTCAAACCACGTTTCGGATTAGGAAGGAATGCACAAGGGATCATCGATCCAGTTTCGGTCCTTCCTACAGGATCAAAGTATGGTTTGGGGTACATCCCCACAGATGATGATTTGAAGATAAAGAGGAAAAAGGACAAGGAATTGACTAAGCCGATCCCGTCTCTCTATTAATACTTTCCATTCCGGCAGCATGCCGAGCCTTAAGACAATGAGGGAGGAATCTGTGACCTGTTCAAGGAGATTAAAGCCGTTATTGAGGAGGAGGTCAACCCAGCTGGCATTCGCGATGCGGAACTAGGGGAGATGCTTTAGAATTGGACTTCCACGCCAATCCTGATGTCCTGGACTCTTGGGTAGAAAGGAATTATTTTATGCATAGTAAAATCGGTGGTCATCCAGAAGAGTTCCGAGACCCATCATTTCTCCATTGTTCTTGATTTTGAATTTTGTTGTGATTTTTGAAAAGCGACATGGCCCTGTGCCATGACCCAAGTTCGCATTTGTTTTATTTAAATGAAAGTCTCCTTATTTTGACATTGTTATTTAATTGCTTGTTATATTTTACTTTCCTAATTTTGTCTGTTTATGATTTCAGTAACGTAAGTTACAAACCTGCCAATGTCATCTCATGTCATGAGCTAAACGAGCAAAATGAGGCAAATGACGATGAGGTTGACGACTATGAAGAAAGTGGGGAACCAGACTATGTTGCAGAAGAATTTCGATAGTTCGAGAATCAACATAAACCGAATTTGGAGGAGATGGAAATAATGAATTTGGGAGATTCAGAATGTGTCAAAGAGGTTAAGATCAGCGCCCACCTGAATGAGACTCAGAAGGAGAGCCTGGTTAATCTTCTTGCTGAATACAGGGATGTGTTCATTTTTGAAGTCGTTGACATGCAAGGGTTGAGTACGATGTCGTATCTCATATGCTGCCTATCAACCCAGGGTTCGAACCGGTGAAACAAAAGACTCGGAAATTCAATCCTGAATTGTGTTTGAAGATTAAGGAGGAAATCACCAAGCAGATAGAGTCTCGATTGGTGGAAGTAATGCAATATCCAACCTGGTTGGCCAATGTTGTTCCGGTCGCCAAGAAAGATGGAAAAATCAGTATTTGGGTCGATTACAGAGATCTTAACAAGGCTAGTCCAAAGGATAATTTTCCGTTGCCCAATATCCATATTTTTATTGACAACTATGCCAAACATGAGATGCAGTCATTTGTGGATTGTTACGCAGGTTATCACCAAATTTTGATGGATGAAGAAGACGCAGAAAAAATGGCATTCATCACACCTTGGGGTGTGTATCACTATAGGGTAATGCCTTTCGGCCTCAAGAACGCCGGTGCTACCCACATGAGAGCCATGACGACCATCATTCATGAAATGATTCACAAGGAAATTAAAGTGTACGTGGTTGATGTCATAATCAAATCCCGCGAGAGTTCGGATCATTTGACACACCTGAGAAAATTCATTGAATGTTTCCGTCGGTACAACTTGAAGCTAAATCCTGCCAAATGTGCTTTTGGAGTCCCAGCTGGGAAGTTGTTGGGGTTTATAGTTAGCAGGAGAGGTATTGAGCTCGACCCTTCCAAGATTAAGGCAATTCAAGAGTTACCTCCGCCGAAGACGAGAAAAGAAGTGATGAGTTTCTTAGGAAGGTTAAACTATATCAGCCAGTTTATAGCACAATCGACAGTGGTATGTGAGCCTATCTTCAAGTTACTGAAGAAAGACGCCCCGACTAAGTGGACTGAGGAGTGTCAGACCGCTTTCGAAGCTATCAAAAGCTATTTGTCTAACCCACCAGTATTTGTTCCTCCGCGAGAAGGGAGTCCTTTGTTGCTACATTTGTCTGTTTCAGATAACGCCTTTGGATGTGTACTTGGTCAACACGATGAGATAGGGAATAAAGAGAGGTCTATCTACTACATAAGCAAGAAATTTACTCCGTATGAGTCTCACTACACTTTGCAGGAGAGAACATGCTGTACTCTGACGTGGCTTGCGCAGAAGCTGAGACACTATTTGTCGTCGTATACTACATATCTTGTCTCTAGAATGGATCCATTGAAGTATATTTTCCAGAAAGCTATGCAGACGGGGAAGTTAGCTAAATGGCAAATGCTGTTGAGTGAGTTTGACATCGTGTACGTGACTCAGAAGGGAATAAAGGCACAAGCTTTGGCTGATCATCTTTCGGAAAATCCCGTTGACGATGAGTATGAACCTCTCAAGACATATTTTCACGATTAAGAAGTGTCATTTGTGGGTGAAGATATTTCTGAAGCGTACCCAGGTTGGAGATTATTCTTTGATGGAGCGGCTAATCACCAGCGTAAAGGTGTTGGAGCAGTCTTGGTATCAGAATCTGGTCAGCACTATCCTATGGCAGCTAAACTGCGATTCAACTACACAAACACCATGGCTGAATACGAAGCTTGTATTCTTTGTTTGAAAATGGCCATTGACATGAATGTTTACAAGTTGCTGGTTATTGGAGATTCAGACCTTTTGATTCATCAGGTTCAAGGAGAATGGGCCGTGAAGAACCCAAGGATTGTACCTTACGTGCAATATGTGCAAAATCTGTGTAAAAGGTTTCACAAGATCGAGTTCAAACATACTCAAAGAATACAAAATGCATTAGCTGATGCTCTTGCCACCATCGCATCGATGATCAAACATCCGGACGCTGATTATATTGACCCTCTGGATATAGATTTTAAAGAGCATCCAGTCCATTGTTCACACGTGGAATCATAACCAGATGGTTTTCCTTGGTATTTTGACATAAAGAGATACTTAGAGTCTGGGACATATCCAGAAGATGCTACATCTAATCAAATGAAGTCGATACGTCGTATAGCTCTCAATTTCTTTTGAATGGAGAAGTCCTGTATAGGAGGACTCCAGATTTGGGTCTTTTAAGATGCGTAGATACTGCTGAAGCTGTGAGGCTTATTGAACAAATACATGCTGGAGTTTGCGGTACACACATGAACGGGCTTACTTTGGCAAGAAAAGTTCTTCGAGCTGGTTATTTTTGGATTACAATGGAGAATGACTGATGCTAATTCGTACAAAAATGCCACAAATGTCAAGTGCATGGCGATCTGATACGGGTGCCACCTCACGAACTTAATGCTATGAGTTCACCTTGGCCATTTGTAGCCTGGGGAATGGATGTCATTGGTCCTGTAGAGCCATCCGCTTCTAATGGACAGATTCATTTTGGTTGCCATTGATTATTTCACTAAGTGGGTGGAAGCAACCTATTACAAGTCGGTAACCAAGAAAGTGGTAGTCGACTTTGTCCGCAACAATCTGATATGCAAATTTGGAGTTCCAAAGTCCATCATTACTGATAACGGTGCAAATCTCAACAGTCATCTGATGAAAGAGATATGTGAACAATTCAAGATTATTCACCGGAGGTCCACTGCTTATCGCCCTCAAATGAACGGAGCTGTAGAGGCCGCCAACAAGAATATCAAGAAGATTTTGAAGAAGATGAATTACAAACAGCGAGGTTGGCATGAAATGTTGACATATGCTCTACTGGGTTATCGAACAACGGTCAGAACATCGACTTGGGCTACTCCATACCTTCTTGTATATGGAACAGAAGCAGTCGTACCTGTTGAAGTCGAGATACAGTCATTGAGGATCGTCCAAGAAGCTGAGTTAAGCAACGCTGAGTGGGTTAGCAAACGGATGGATTAACTAGCTTTGATTGATGTGAAGAGAATGGTCTCCGTTTGCCATGGCCAGTTGTATAGACAAAGAATGACTCGCGCTTTTCACAAAAGAGTAAGAGCTAGAAATTTTGAAGTTTGTCAGTTGGTTCTCAAGCGCTTTTTTCCTCATCAAGACGAGTACAAAGGAAAATTTGAGCCAAACTGGAAAGGTCCGTACATGGTTCGTAAAGTACTATCTGGAGGTGCTTTGGTCCTTTCCGAGATGGATGGCACTGTATGGCCCAAGCCTATCAACTCAGATGCTGTTAAGAGATACTACCCGTGAAGTTCCATTCTCGCATTTTTCTGTTATTTACTTGTAATCGTTCTATTTGCTTGTATTTGTTCAATTTGAATTCTTATCCCTCTTGTAACGAACTACGCCTGACCTGAATTCTCAAGAAAGAGATATGTAGGCGGCCTATGTCGGCTTCGATCACCCCATTTTTCCCCTTTTCAATTATTTCTTTGTATCTAAACTACGTTGGACCTGAATTCTCAAGAATGAGATACGTAGGCAGCCATTGTCAGCCTCGGTCGATTTCTGTGTAAATTTTATTCTTGTTAACTTTTAAGGGGAACTACGTTTGACCTGATTCCTGGCTAAACGGGATACGTAGGCGCCACGAGGGCTTGGTCATATCTCTCGTAAGATTTCTATTCCCCTTTACAATAGAATAGGGACAGAATTTCTGAGAGGGACTCAAAATTCATCAGAAGAAATCTCTTCTTCAGCAAGCAAGACTAAAAACATTTCGAGATCTACAACTGAGAAAGAATATTTGAAAATATCTCAAAAATTCCGCGATCTGTTCGGTTACAATGGAGAGATGAGCAAGATAGTAAACTAGGACAGAAATTTTGAGGATGGCCTCAAAATTTCGTTATAGGTCTTCCCTAAATGTCCGGAACGCCTCTGAAACTCATCAGCAAGTGTCAGATTCAAAGGAGCTCGTAAAGCCTGATATGACATGACTTGGCAGCGACATTTTCAGCATACTATTTCATAAAGATTTCTCATTTCTTTTAAAAATTTTCCCTCTTATGTTTCATTTGTTTTGGCGTAAGATATCTTTTCTTATCTATCAAGAATCGGGAAATCGGGAAATCAACCGGAGATATCAAGACCAGGACCAAACAACTGAAGGAATCGACATAGATCAATATGTTTTAAAACTGACAATTTTTCTGTGGATGCAGGTTTATAGTTTTGCTTTGAAGTCGGCAAAATTATCTCGACGGATGAATACGAAGAGCTCCCAAAGAATAGACAAACTATCTCCAAAATCAGTGATCTTACTGAAAGTAGGAGGCAATTCATATAGTTAGTGTCAAGATTCATGTAAATGTGTTTGTTTATTTCAACCCATTCTCAATAACGTGAAATTTGCAAAAGTGTCTGGCCAGATTCAAAGGTGAATCAAATAGGAATCTCAGCAAAGATTTCACGATTTCTATAGAACACGCTATTTGCATTGCTTTATCAAACAAGATGGTTATTGTCGATCAAGACAATGCATTACCTCAGAAGAGACAGTTATGGAATTATTATTTTACCATTATCGATCAAGTCGATATATTATTAGGAGATCATCTTGCCGTTAATATCCACGGGGGCGATATAAATATTCATGCATCGCGGAATTCATACTGCTGAAGAATCATGCATCGCGGAATCAGGCATCGCGGAATTCATACACTGAAGAATCATGCATCGCGAGTCATTGATTATGCACGACGAGAAGATTTCATGCCTTGTCACAATTTATGCATCGCGAGAAGATTTCATACCTCGCTGAAATTTATACATCGCGAGAAGACTTCATACCTCGTTGGAATTTATGCATCACAAGAAGAATCAATGCCTCGTTGAAAATCATGCATCACGGAAATCATGCATCACGGAAGTCATGCATCGTGAAATTCATACACTGAAGAATCATGCATCACGGAATCATGTATCGTGAAAATCATGCATCACGGAAAATCATGCATTGCGAGTCAACAATCATGCACGACGAGAAGATTTCATTACTCGACAAAATTTATACATCGCGAGAAGGATTTATTCCTCGTTGGAATTTGTGCATCATGAGAAGTATCCATGCCTCGTTGAAAATCTTGCATCGCGGGAAAATAATGCATTGCGAGTCAACAATTATGCACGAAGAGAATAATTCATGCCTCGTCAAAATTTGCACATCGCGAGTAGATTTTATTCCTCGCTGAAAGTTATGCATCGCGAGAAGACTTATGTCTCGCGGGAATTTACGTATCGCGGGAATATATTCATGCCCCGCAAGAGGACATATACGGATAAAGAAAGAGCAATATTTATCCATCGACCTCAACCGCATTCTTCATTTTTATAAAAGAAAACATCAAGAAGAGCATCGAAGATAACGACAAAAGAGATATCAATACCGCATCAACATTTATTTATTTATTTTAGCATCAAACAAAGAGTACACTGAAGATTTTATTTACAAAGCACAAGGCATAAGCTTTATTTTCTAGATGTCAGACCGATCGAGTCGACGTCCAATATTGAGGAGAACAATAAAGTGTCGACATGGTAAAAAGACACTGTCTCCTATCCTAATGGCATTCTTTAAGATGATGAGTTTTATCTCAGTCTTTGTCGAGAGCATCCAAAAGGATGAATTCTCAAAAAAAAAAACCACAGGTGCGGATGACATCAAAAGGGATGCAGCACAACGTGGAACTTTTTCTTAGCAGCGAACTGGGGCACAATCAAAAGAGGAATATCATACTCTTAGGAAGCGAGCAGAGGAGCGACTTCCACCATGATCGAACCACCCCTCTCTAGTCATGAGGGTTTTTCTTTAGTTCCGTCAGTTTCAGTCTCGCGTCTGGAAGTTTTAATTTATCGGAAGCAAGTTTCCAATCTCAGTGACAATGCGCCAAGAGCTTTGGAAATTATGTCTGTGTGAGTTCCTACCTATGGATGTGAAGAGCTCCACATTCATGGTTAAGAGATTACAAGCCTCCTTTTCATACTCGTTAATTTGTCACTTATCAAAAATCAAAGGTTATCTAGCATAATAGATTTCTTTTTCCACCGTTCGAGTCGAACTACACACAGCCTGATTCTGAAAGTTTAAGGATATGTAGGCAAATTCAATGTTGAAGCTCGGTTGTATTCCAACATTCGCTCTCGAATTCTATTCCCGAGCATTTCGATATCTTCATAATTCGGTGTCGAAGTGGCTTTTGATTCCTTCAAATCATGCGGTAAATCAAGCTTATCGAACTACAAGTGGCCTGAATTATCATATAGCCTGAGATGTGTAGGAAACCCGTTTGAAGGGTTCGGCCATAATTCCTAAACTCTTTATCGAATACTTTCTTTAGAAATGAATGGGGTTGGTCAAAATTGGTTCGGTCAATTTCATTTTCCTCGAGTTGCTTGCATCAACCTAAGTAAAATGAGGGACAGTTGTTGACACCCAATTTTGACCCGCGTCTGTATAAATTAATTATCGAGCTTCCTAAATTTTCCAAATAATTTAAATTAATTAGTTTTATAAATTTTACGAATATAATAATATATTACATAAATTTTATTTTACTTCGAATATCTTTTGTCATAAGTTTTAGGTAATATACATATCTACGTAATTATATATATAAGTAGTATATCTTATGATTATTCAAAAACCATCGAAATATACATTTAAATGTTTTATTAAATAGTTTAATTTTAATTATAATTATGTGTTTGAATCACTTTTACGATTTTTAATAATTATTTTATAAAAGCTCGTTAATTGGTTAACGCGAAATTCATCATTTTAATTAGTTACGTATTTAATTAATCCAATTCCCTTCCCTATTCTAATTAACTCCACCAACAGCCCACAAACTCAAGGCCCAATTCCCCCCCAGGCGGCCCATCCTCTTCAACCCAGCCCAATTCCCTTTCTAACATCCTAAACCCACAACCCAATTCCGGACAGCCCAGCATAAACTTTTGTTTCTTTTAAAAATACCAATCCAACACTTAACAGCCCAACTCCCTTAAACTCTAACCCAGGCCCAATTTTCCAATCCCGGCGGCCCACTCGTTTTAATTTTAAACCCAGCCCAATACTTTAAATCCAACCCTCTTTTCAATAGACCCAAACCCTTTTATTTGTTAACCGACCCAACATTAAATTACCCAGCCCAACGCTTTGACCCGACCCAACCCATCTCCCCTTCCTTCTTCCCCTCACCCACGCCATTTCCCAGAACAGAACAATTCCCAGAACCAAAAAGAAAAAACACAGAGAAAAACAGAACCCCCCAACGGAAACTTCCCCAGACGCGTCTCTCCCTCTTGCGTCTCCCTCACGCTCTCTCCCTCTCTCCAAAACTCCCTCCCTCGTGAGAACCCAACGCAAGACAATCACGTACCCTTCTCTCTCCCTCGCGCAGAAACCCCCAGATGCAAACCCAAGAGAAACAGAACCTCCCAGACGCGAAATTAATTCCCCAAAAATCGTCAAAATTCCCAAAACTCACGTGCAAGGAATTCTCACAGCCTGGTTTGTCTTCTTCTTCGCGTGTCCTCGAGTCACGCATCTCCTTCCCTCTCTCTTTGCGCTCGTACGAGCGCACACTGGATAGTAGCACCCTCGCCTCAATAGCCTGGAATTTTCCTACTCATCCTTGCAACAACGATATGATGAAACGATGTGCGCAAAGACGGAAGGCTCATCTCGACCCTCCACCTCGCCTTTGAGCCATTCAAAGAGCCAAGAATCGTGGAATATTCGTTTCTGTTGGATAAAAATTGGGATTTTGAATTCGAAATGGGTGATCCCGCCAAACGCTAATTTTCCCTTTTCTATATAAACCCCGTCCGAGACAGAGAAAAGGGTTGGCGATTTTTAGGTTGAAATTTTTGGGGAAGTCCTTCGGTTGTTGAGTTTGATCTTAAAGCATTATAGTTAGCGATTTAGGGTGGAAATTTGGGAAAAA